GAAGGATACACAGGCCTCTAACTAATATTTTTTCTTCTTCTTTTTTCAGTTGTTTAATATTAGTTATCAGTAATGTGTGTAGTGCATAGTGTTTCCATCCCTTGTAGGAAGTTGGTAACACGTACGTAACACACTTTAATTCCTTTTCTCGTCTCCTTTCTATCCCCTCCCTCCCTCTTCCACCTGTTCCTGGATGCCCTTCCTTTCTCGTACATTCTGCAGTACATAAAGTTTGCATTCCTTCTAAATAATATTTTTGTTATGAATCTGTAATTGTTTCAAACTAATTTTTTTTAATGAAAAAATAAGTCAAATTTTGTCTAGCTGACTTTCTCCTAGGATTCCTCATGTGGGAGTTGCCAAGTGTGGTCATGACAAGCCTCTGTGTGGATGCTGGGAATACAGGCAAGTATGAACTCACCCAGCGCTTTCTCAAAGTCATTTCTCAACAGAAGCTGAGGGTGGAGCGTCACTGAAGTCCAGTGACCTTCACAACTGAAGAGCAAAAGTCAAACAGAGAACCCAGACCTGCACAGGGCTCGCTGTGGACTCCACACAGCGAGCCCTGGTTCCACCTTTCCTTGCTCTCAGGCTTGGGATACAACTAGAGCCCTATGCACCCAGTGCCTCCCTGGACCAGAAGAGGTTTTCAGGTAAGGGCGGGGGGAGGTCAAAACCACGAGACAGAATAAAGCCAAGCACAGAGGAAGGAGAATGAATGGGGAGGAGCTGGGGCCAGGAGACCCACTATTTTCCTCCGCATGCTCCATGACTTGGGAACAGCAGAACAAAGAAGCAGGCAAGCTCCCACCCCAACACCCCATTCTGGATGTCCTCAGTAGAAGAAAAGCAGCCACTGTCACAAACAAAGGAGAATGACGAGGAAGAGATGAAAGGAGCTATCTACACTGAAACATGTTCTTCCCTTTGCTCTGTGTCAATATCCCTAAGAGAGAAGGTAAACGCTAAGAAAGGCTTTGAGTATCATCCAGGAGGAGAAAGTGTGAGCCACCTATGACAATGCCTAGCCCCCTCCCCCCATTCTTATCATTCTTCCTATCTCCTTCTCAGAAGCAGGGGGAGGCAGGGCTCTCAGGAGGCAGATACCCGAGAAGCAAAGTGTTGGGTCTCAAATGCTAGAGAAACACCACCCTTGGGGAAAAGTGGGCACATTTTAACTCATGGAGTCAGATAAGGAATTCTTCAGCCCAGGATTCTATTGAGCATTTATCAAGCTGTTAGGATATAGTATTTTGTTCTGGAAATCAAGATGTTAAGCCCAAGGTGTCTCCCCGTGGTTGGGGAGCAAAAGCTTCAGAAGTTATAGACCTAGGCCAGAACAAAACACTTCCTCCACTGTTTGGTCCTCCCAGGTCAGAGGTCACCAGGGCTCCTCAGGTCAAGCTGTGTGGTTTGCTTTTCCTTTCTTCCCACTGTTCTTGCCCCACCCTCCATCCCCTCTGGGACCCCACCCCCAGCTCCGCTGAATACACGTATATGATTTCACTGCACTGGAGCCTTACGTGTGTAATTTCCTGAAATTTGGCAGCAGTTAGTGACCAACCACTGCTGCTATAAGATAACCTCAGTTTGGCCCAAAGAAAGTTTCATGTTAGGGAAAAGCAGACCTCATCGAGGCTGGCAGGATAAGTTAGCCTCAGAGGCTCCCTCCCACCAGTGCCCCCCATAAGCACTGAATGAGCCTGTTTTCAATTTAGAGTTCTGGGCGCTGAGCTGCTCCCTTTGACAGGGATTGTCTGAGCAGGTCCTGTGCTTCCTAAGATTTCTACAAGCCAGAGGCCACAGAAATTGTCTCTAAATTAAATACAGCAGTATTTACTCCTGTTGGAGGAGGCCCAGAAAATTCACCCTGAGAAGCTGGGAGTATAGGTCAGTGGTAGAGAGCGTGCCTGCCTGTATGAGGCCCTGGGTTCAATCCTAACATCACTAAAAACAAAAAATTCACCCTGAGAGTGCCGAGGCTCTTCAGATAAGAGTTCTAAAGAGTGAAAGGTCATTAACCTGTGAGCAATTGGAAGCATCCGAACTGCAGCTACTGCAACTTTCCTCGGCCACAGCTGGGATGTGTGTCCTCAGGGCCTGGAGACAGCCCTGACCATTCGAAACAAGCATGTCCTTGGTATCCGCACCTGCTAAGCCAGAGCTCAGCGATGTGGTGCTGATGGTAGGGCCTGGTCGCACATCAGTTAGAATCTAGAGTCTTTCATGCCTGAGTTATTTATATGTCACCCTTTCTTGGCTGTACGTTCACACATAGGGACCAACCTTACAAAGCTTTGTGTCCCTTGTCACTAATAAAGACAATAATATCCACCTGACAGAGCTGCAAAGAGAGCAAAATATGGGCACAATATTTCCATTACTTCTGGTGCATTCCCATAACTCTATTACCATTATTATTATGAATTATTATTATTATTATTATTATTGGCATTATCAGTATTATTAGCCATAGTTTTTTTTTAACTAATACCTATGCATCATAGAACTAGTGGAACAATAGTTCCTAAAGGCTATTAGAATAGACAATCCTAGGGGGCTGGGGATTTAGCTCAGCGGCAAAAGTGCTTGCCTGGCAAGTGCAAGGTCGTGAGTTCGGTTCCCGGTACCGGAGAAAAACCAAAACCAAAAAAAAAAAAAAAAAAAAAAAAAGAATAGACAATCCTATTTGTTGAAGTAAGAAGTGATCTCAGATTGGTACCAAGTGGTGGGCAGCTCCAGTTCACTTGCCAAGCCCCCTGCCAGCGCTGCATGGCATATAATCCTTACTGAGGTGCACAAGGCAGGAATTGTTCCCATTACCAACCTTTTCCAGTCAAGACTTGAGCCTTAGGAAAGGTATGTCACCCGGTGAATAAATGTCCGGGATGGAGCATAGACCTAAGTCCTCTGCCTTGATCCCCTTCCCCTAAACCATATGGAATATGGATTTAGCAGGAATGTCCACGAAGCCAGTAGGTTCATCTGTCCCAGCAACAAGGAACCTAGAAAAGTGACAAATCCCCAGGATGGGTGCCTCCTGTTCCTAACTATGTCACCACAAACGCGCAGCCCATTCCCCACTGAGAAGGTGCCGAACCACCCAGCCTCGCACTGGGAGGAGGAAATCAGTCAGATAGTCACTGCTACACCCAGAAGGCAAAGTCTTAAGTTTAATTAACGGGAATTCAGATTCTAGACTTGCCTGAAGATAGCCAAATATGTCTGGCCTCAGGCTCATAAGTGAAGGAAGCTGAGGTCTCCAAACTATTCTTAGAACTGTTGTGGATCAACAGAGGTAATGATTAAGAGGATCTGGTTTTCGAGAACCCAGAGAAACTCTTAACTGATAGAAGCACTGAACTTCCTAAGGAGGCCAACTGGCCTGGGCCCAGGCCTCAGGCGCAAATCACTGGCACGTAGGAAGTTATCTTATTTTTATAGCCCTTCAAAGAAACTGCTGCCATAAACTCATTTATTTAGGGGCTCAAAGCAGGTCTAAATGCCTCATTCTTAGTGTCTCCTTATCCTCGGTGTCAGGAATCCGGTCTGGAGCCACTGCTCCTCCCGCCATTCTTGGGGAAATGGGAGGGAGATCCTGCCTGCCCTCCACAGGCGCATTCCTCTCGGACCACCCAACCTCTGCGCCCACCCCTTCCTCCCATTTCCAATTTTAACAAGTCAAAACTGCCACAATTCTTGGCTGAAACATCTCCAAACTGGTGAAATTCCGCCATTCTAACTGGTGGAACCAAAATGACACACATTGCTCCTATCTAGGTCTGACCAAAGGTGAGGGGATCTGAGTGTTATTTTAAATTATCTCAGAGTGTATGTCTTCTTTATATTCAACTGTGAAAAATCAATTCAGCCTTTATCATGGTGTAAGGAAAGAGCAGAAGCAGGCATGGGTAATCCCAGTTCCTCTGATAGCAAGAGGAGCTTAAGCATGTTCACGGGATCCGCTCAGATCTCACAGCCCTCGCGGTGAGACACTCGTGCGCAGCCCACTGAGACCCTCCCCGTCCGCAGCGGGATCTAGGCTCCCAAGCTTGCACCACTGGAAGCTTTGCTCGGTTTCACCTGACTGTAACAATTGTGGGAATGGACGTCTGCTCCCTAACCCACCCTGACCCCAAGGCACCGTTGTATGGGCGGGTGCCTGTAGGCTCCCCTCTCCTCGTGGGAACTGCCTTGTTCAGGACCCTTTGAGTACTGTGTGGATTCAACCATTCCAGGTCCTCCGGAACAAGAGCGAGAGAGAAGCATTTTAACCTCGGTGGAAGAAGTCCTTCTCCCTCTTCCTAACAGCTGTCAATCCTCGTTTTTCTCCTTACTGATTCCCCTTAACGTGCCGAGCCGGAGGCGCCTGCTTTGACATTTTTGAGCGAACCAGGAGGGCTGCTGCTTTCCTGGAGTCATCTGCAGACCAGGAGCGCTGGTCAGCGAAGCCAGATGGTTGCCTGCTTTGGGCACCATTGAGGAGGAAGTCTGTTTTGCTGAGAAGTTCTCGATTTTGCCAGGTAGCAGAGGTGGAATAAGATCAAAGCCTGAGGAAGGACGGACATCCCTTCTCCCACCTCCCTGACCGCGCCATCTCGTCGTGCCCAGAGGCGGTCCCCACAAGTCGCCGACTTGGGCCACTCCAAGCCCATCCCATGAGCGGAGTAACTGTCCACCGCAGACCGACCAAGCGCTCCTCGCGACGTTCATTCCCAGCCACAGAACAGTACGCTTCGCTGCCCTGCTGCCTGCCCGCTGCTGCGCACAGGTACCTTCGTGGCCCTGCTCCTCACCCATGAGCGCGCGTGAGCACACACGCACGTGCACACGCTCCCCACCCGCTCGCCGGTCAGCCCCGGGGATCGACGCCGGGCTCGGCACCCAGGGCGCAGGAGGAAGCGGGGCGCATCCAGCGCCTCCTGGGTTTCCGCCACGCCGCGTCCCGCCGAAGCTGCGCCCTGCACGCCCTGCATACCGGCCCCCGCGCGCCCGCTCACCTTAATGTTGCCGAAGACTGCGCGGGAGCAGCGGCCGGCGCGGCCCGCAGAGGCGCTGCTGCTCCGGCGCGCGCCCAGCCCTGGCAGGAGCCCCATGGTGGCGGCGGCGCGGCGCGTCCCTCTGTCCCGCGGCGGCTGCAGGCCCAGGCGCCCGGGGCTGGTGCGGCCGGGAGGTGGCTCCGCGGAGGCGCGCAGCGCGTAGACTGAGAGAGACTGAGTGCGCCCAGAAGTTTTTATAAGTGGCCGCCGCTGATGAAACGCTTCGCCCTCCTCCCACTCTTCCTCGGTGTCAACGACGCCGGAGCCCCCGCCCTCCGCTGCCCCAGACAGGTGTCCCGGGCGCCCGCGGCGTCGGCGCTGCCCGAGCCGCCAGACTCTGGGTTCTCCGGGCTCGACCTCTCTTCGGGACGGCCCAGGAAGAGGTCCCGCCTGCGGGGAGGGGTGGTGGGGGAGAGGAGACAGCGGCTGGACGGGGCGGTGGGATGCAGGCGGAGGTGAGCACGGGGACCCGCGGGCGGTGACCCGAGGGCACCAGGGGCGGGTTGGGCAGGCGAGGGTGGGGCGCTAGGAGGGCTGGGATAGGAAGGGGCTGGAGGGGGTCCGGGGGACACTGCGGACAGCGGGAGCCAGCGGGTGGAAGGGATCAGGGTTCCCTGAGCGGAGGTGAGCCCCGGCACCCCGCCCGACGCACTCCGGGAGATTTACAGAGCCGGTCTCTGCTTGTTTGCACTCGCCGCGGCAAACCTGGGCCCTCAGTTCCGGGGATGGCGGGAGACTCTCCGAGGCTCTGTTTGTGCTGAAGACTGATTTATATTTAAACTGCTCTTTGCGCTGGAGAGGGGGCGGGTAACAAGGTGGAGGGGTGGGGGCCGCCCCGGCGGGCCCGAACTCTCTGGATCTGGGCCAAGGTAAACTGCATGCGCTGTCAAGTGTCAGCGAGGCTGAGACTGGCCCGGGGTGCTCGGAGGGCATAGGGTGGGGCATTGGACAAATGGGATGCACCCCACTGACCTCTTTCTCAAGATGAGAAGAAGTGCGTTTGTTTTTCCCCTAAGATTTTTTACCAGCAGCTCCAAGAAGAGAAAGAAGGTGTAGCTTTCCCAGAGAAGGCAAGAAGTGTTCTGCCAAAAGCAGCTGCTGTGAGAAACCAGTACAGGAAGCGTCCTTCCAGCTTCCTAATCCCTGCTGTCCCCCGCACAGTGGACCCCCTCCAAGGCTGCCCCAGCGGAGGAAAAGATGACCCTCCATACCCAGGAAGTTTCAATTCAGACAAAGGCCACAGGATGGATGAACAACGTAGGCTCCTTATTTCTAACCAGGGCCTGCTGCCTCTCGTGGCCCGGTCTGGCCTGCCTATGTCCCGGGGTTTCTCCTGTCCACCTGCGACCCAAGGACTTGGGCCTAGCAGCGTTCAGAAGCTGTGGGACGGTGAGGTGCCGCTGATCACTCCACGCATCTGCAGAGAGAGATGCACACAGAGGGCTTTGTGGAACCCTGCCGCTAGCCCCGGACCCAGAGCAAGCGTCGACTGCAGCTCCCTGTCCCGTCTACTTGGAGGACAAGGACCAGCATTATCACGGAGTAGCTGATGTGCCTGCTCGCTGACTGCAGCACACACGATGGACTGCGCCAGCCACTCCCCTCTGCACACACGAGCATCCTTCCGTGTAATTCCCACGTTAATCCCGAGTGATTGGTGCTGTTACAGTCTGGGCTTTATGGACAAGGATACTAGGGAGGCCAATTAAAAATTGGCTGAAAGCCATAGAGCATGCCTGACTCCAAAGCCCAGACTTGAAGCATCTGCACAGCCGTCAAGTCTAGCAGGGGCCTTTCACCTGTGGAACCAAGCAGGGGCCAAAGAATGCCTGGGCCAAGATCACAGGCACATTAGGGCCACCACAGCTGGCTGTTCTTCCTCAACCCTTGGTCCTAGAGTGACCCTCTAGAAGAATCCCAGGGGTACCCAACCTCTCCAGTTGTTCCACTCTGCTAACCTTGTCCTCTACTGCTGCCGGGACCAGCACTATCTCCAAACGAAGGCCTGCTCAGAAATCCTACCAGATGCAGTTCAGCTAAAAGTAATGGACATCCAACCAAAGTGATTCATAATAAAAGATCTGCTAGTAGATAGTGTGTGGGTCATGACCAAGGCCCATTCAGGATTCCTTAGTATGTGGCTTTCACAGCCATGACTGGCTCTCTGTCACAAAATGTCTGATCCACCTCCAAGAAGAAGACTAGAAGCAGGAAGGGACCGGTCTTGCATAAAGAAAATCATCCCTGCATACACAGGTGCTTTTCCTTACATCTTACTGGCCGCCACTGAGTCACATAGCTACCCTCTGCAAACCTCACAAAGAAATATAGGGGTGCACAAGCCAGATCCTGGGGGTATCACCAACACCTCCCTCCCCCACACGTGAATGCCTGCTTTTTTCAGTATATTCAGATTCAACAGGCTTGAATAAAACTGAGTTTCTATTAGGGAAAGGGGGAGAAAGGATAGTGTGTCTTCAACTTTCAGTGTCTACACGTAAAGAAATCCATTTCCTTAAAAGAGCACCCCCAGAGTCTGTCTGTCAAATTTCCCATCCTTTGACTTCAGCAAATATTTCCTAGCGCTGAAAAAAGAGAACAAAGAAACAAGCATATGAGCAACCCCTGGCTTCAAAACTTCTCTGGTCTCAGAGCAAGGAGATGAGAAAACATGGGAGTGGTATATAGCACCACTGTGCACAGCCCCTATGGGAGCAGAGAAGGACCCCACCCCAGCTGGAACAGCAGGAAGACTTCTTGGAGGAGGTGATCGTCTAGCGCAGCTTGAGAAAAATGCTGAAACATGGGGCAGCATGCCAAGGAAGGAGGCCCCAGCCATTCTGAGCAGCAGCTGACCTAGGCTGATTTGCTTTTCTTGTTGCCTCTCTAACAGCCAGGTAAGAGAGGAGTGGGGAAGCCTGTGGAGGAGTACATGAGCTGTGGTGCGGGCCTGGACTGCCACAGTGGGTTGGTGGTTAATAATCCTTAGTTACTGCAGGCTGATCAGGCCCACAATCTGCCAAATAAGTGGATGGCGCAGGCTTAAATAAATGAGACAACTGAGATGGTTTTAGGGCTCCAGGAGGGTCCAACTCTCTTACAGAATTTGATATTCTCTGGATTAAGACAAAGAACTTTTCTGGGCAGCCCGTATTTATTAGGTTTTCAAATAAAGGAGAGGAATACTGAAGAAAATGCTGGAATCTGAGCAGGACCTTGGGAGAATTTTCCCAAGTAGTAAGTTATGTCAGTCAGGAGAACTACCTTATCTTTAGGTTGGTATTTATTGTAGGAGTGTGGAACCTGCAGCTGCAGTCTCCTTGTAGTTAATTGGGGGTTGGAGCCAAAGGTCCTCAGCTGTGGCCTTATCTTGTCCTTTGAAGAGTCACAGCTTCACAGGCCAATACAGGCTTCAGGGTGACCAGGGATTCACAGAGGTTTATTTACTATAAGTCCACTGCCCACCTTTAGACAAGGTGCCTAAGCTTCAGACAGCTCAAAGTAAACACGGAAAGCCAATTGGTTAATATTAAATCCACTCAGAGCCACTTTGTAGTGGTCTCCATCATTGGTGGGAAGGAGAGAAAAGCCCAAGAAATAGAGAACAGAGAAGGCATCCATGTAGAAGTGAGGAAGATGTTGGTGACAACTCCTAGGATCTGGCCTGTGCAGCCAGCATGCCCACTCCTGACAGAGGATACCTAGAAGGATCTGTAGCAGATGGGGGTCCTCAAGGGCCTGTTTTGAGTTCAACCAGCCTGGACTGCAGGCAGGAAAGATGTGCAGTAGGCAGATGACCAGACAGGTCCATAACCACCCCGGGCTTGGTGACTGCACTTGGAGGTGGTGGCTAAACCTTGAGAAGGGAATGAGTCTCCCAGCAAGAATGTCTTGAGAAGTAGGTTCAGGACGGGCCCCAGAAACATCAGCAATGGCCCAGGCATTGGAGCCAGAGAGGAGAGAAGAAACCAGGGGAGGGAAGTGTTCCTAGCACACAGAGGTAGTGTTTCTAAAGAAGGGAAGATCTGAGGAATACTGCTAGGGTGGCGAAGTCTGGCACTGATGACCTTGGTGATGTGGGAACAGGGCAGATTCTGCAAACCGAGGAGTACTGGGAAGAAGAAAGCGCAAGCACAACAGTATATTCCTGCCTTTGTCATCACAGGTCACACTGAGATAACACGTATGGTAGCTAAGGACACAGAACTGGTAGTCTGACAAAGATGCTGCCGTCCCTTCATGCCAGCTGTGTTCTATTATAGCTGGCTTCACCTCTACGGCCCTCAGTGCCTTCTTTGAGGTGAAGGTACCTGTGGAGTTGTTATAATATGTATACAAGATGATTGCCACCCAGGAGGGACCAGGAGAGGGCCAGGACTGGGCAGTTGCCGTTCCTGCGGTGATTGGTGGCTTTGCTGTTAGTAAACTTTGCTTGGTGCCTTTTCCTCTAGCTCAGCTATGAGCTCCTTGAGGCTCACGTTTCTGTGTCAATCTTAATTTCCCCAGTTTCGTCTTATTGCTTTAAAATGTTTGTTTTAATAGAATCAAGCGGAAATGAATTCCAAAAAGACCCTCGAGCCTGGGGCAGACCTTCGTTGCTTTCTATCAAAACCCATCCCCAGAGGCCTCTGGTTGTCCCAGGGTCTCAGCCTTGCCTGCCCTCACTGATGTTTGGCCATGGTCTTGATAGGTCAGTGAGTTTACAAGCTACACGGCCCACTCCCACAGTAGCTGATGAAGGTCCCTTGGACAGTTTGGACCCCCAAATGTTATCAGGCATTAACTCTGGTCGCCTGGCTCCTTGAATGCCAGCCACCAACAGGTATGGAGGCCAGGAGGTTCCCTGATGACTGCCTGTCTGCTAGTTGGAGGGCCAAGAGCTCCCTCTTTGTCACTATCATCAATAGGGCAGCTTACTTCATTTGTTATCTGGACACATCTATATTTTTATTTGACAAATACATGGTGCTAGTAGCCTTTGCTGGGTCCTGGTATATTAATACATTCAATCTACAAAACAACCCAATAAGAGTGGTTACTTTAACTGGTGCTATTTTACATTTGGAGAAACTGA